AGCTGATCCGTGCTGGTCGCTGAGGGAATACATCAACTTCGTGCTGTGGATCGCCAGATCAGCTTTCACCGTGGACGAAGCAGAGTCCAGCCCGGGGTCGTCACATGTGGTTGCCGCAAACCCGCCGACCGCTCCTTCGTCGAATCCGCCTCCACTCACTCTAGGCCTCCAGCATAAACACATTTCATTACACCAAATACACAAAATAATGTTCTTTTTAGCAGCATCATATGACCCCTTTAAAAACAGTTCATCTGGGCCTAAGTTTTTGTATTCTTCTGCCATGTAGATGCCAACCTCTGCAGGAAGGTCTCGTAGCGACGGCGATATGCAAAGCCAGCTCTCCTCACCCTAAGGTTTTCCATCAGACCAAGATATTTTACTTGGTGCCTGATGAGGACTTCATCAAAACGCCCTGTAGAGAGACAGAGAGATTTCAGTTTAATGAGGCTTCATAAAATGTAACGTATGTTTAAAACTATAGATTTGCCACTATTTATGAGAATAAGAGCTTATTAACAAACAAAAGACGCTAACAAATATCAACAAAAGGCAAGGGCAAAACAAAGGAGCTGATGAAGTAAGAGAGAATCAGTGTGAGGGAACGAATGACTGCAGTTTGAACAATGAATCCATTACATCACATGGAGAAGAAAAAAATGGCACAAATACTCTCAAAATATATATAAATACTCAAAATAGATAGATAGATAGATTTGAGCACTTTAACAGTCACAAAAGAAAATAATAAAATTTTTACATTTTCATAATTTTCTCATTTAAATTCTATATATTTCTTTCTTTTGAATCAACATTTTAGACACGTATAGCATTTTGGTTCATCAATGTTTAATAATTGTTAAATGTTTAATGACATGAAAAAATGTTCAATAAATTCTACAATAAATTATAATTTGTACAATAAATCATAATACTGATAATTCTCATGTCCTAAAATAATATACCATTTTCTACATCCCTTGGAGTACCATATAAATACCATGTTTTATGAATATGGCAATAATACTAAAACATGGAATGCATCAAACTACCATAATACTGTCATTCAATCGGTAAGGGAACAGGTGCAAGGAATGAGCACAAATGAGAAAAACAATAATTTCTAAGTGATGAACGGCACTAAAACTCAAAGTACAGAAAACTGCTCACAAACCTGCTTGCTTGGCATCGTTAGGCTTGATGCAACGTACGTAAGACGGTTCCTTAGACATCAGGATTTCCATCAACTTCGCCAGGCTGTTCTTGAACTGGGTTGCTGCCTGGTCGCAGCGAGCCAACGGAACGAGAGATCAAGAAAAACAGACGGCCAGTGAGAACAAGCAAGAACACAAGTCCAGCCAGGCAGTGACAATGTGGGAGAAGCCAGTGGTCAGCAATGCAAGCAAACAACTAAACAGCAGCCCACCCACACTCAACCAATGGAGCTCTGCGGAGTGGGCACTGCGATTGGGGGGGATTCAGGACTGTATGCAGTCACATGGAGTGAAGAGGTACCACAGTGTCAGGGCATTCCTCACAGTGTGGGTGGCAAGCAGAGATTAGCAATTTCATGGACTGAGGCCAAGCTGCTGTGGTTTATGTATAAATGCCACTATGAACTAGGAACTGATTCACAAACAAATTTTGTTGTTTATTTGACGCTATATATTTCACTTTCTAGAAATAGCAGTATTTAAAGGCACAACATGTACGTCGGCTGTGGGGATGAAGACCACAACTCCCATGATTCCACACTCAGACTCCCATGTCATCAAACTAGCCTTTGTCTATTTGTTTATTTTGAACACGTGCCCTCTAGCAGCGAAAATTACATATTGTCCCTTTAAGTTAAAAAAAATTATAATACTTGAGACATTACTTTTTGGATTATAACTGGATGGATGGATAGATAGACGGACAGACAGATGGATCAATATTTTAACAGCCAGATAGATAGATAGATAGATTTCAGGTTTCTGAAAAGGAGATCATTGTTCTTGTCCAGGAAGCCTAAACGATGGAAAATACACAATGACGTCAGTCAACGCTCAGCCTGGGAAAAATCTGTGGGCATAAGTGCCCGCTTTTGTTCAATGACGTGCTCTCTTTTTGTTTCTTCATTTTTTATTGCTGCGCTCTGTTCAGTAACTGACCGTTCACATTGTAGTTGACTTCTCCTGCGTAGTGGATCAGTCTGAACTCCTCACGACCCATTATTTTACGGGTTTTTCCATCAGCCAGCTTGTGGCTGTAATGTAGTGCAGATGCAGATATATAAATATCATATATATTAGTTTTCAAATGCTCAGGATATAATTTTAAGTATTAGATCGATTGATAAAAGGAAGGTGGAGTGACTGACGTTAGGAAGTGTGCGTGGCCACCAACAGTGTTCTCAAGCTTCTCCAGGAAGGTGATGTCACTGGCATCTCCAGGCCGGAGACACTCTTCATCCTGTAGATAGAACGGTAAATGATTATAGATATATGCAGCTTAAAACAATGTTTAATATTTTGATGGAAGTTCACAGAGAGCATTCTTACCAGGATAGAAATGATTCCTTTAAACTTCTCCTCCACAAGATCACAAATGATCTTGTTGTTAAAATATTGCACAGGCTCCCACTGGAGAATGCAAAAACATGAGCATTACTGCATTTGAACTAAGAGGAAAATATTCAAGATTTGCTATAAAATTCAAGGAATGCAATAACAAAGAGCATTCCCAGCCCACCCGTGAATCCAGGCCACAAACAGACTTTCTTTAACAGTCTATACGTCACAATGTTTTATCGGCAGTGCGAGAGGTCAGCATTATCATAATAACAGCACAAAAATAAAGCCCACGACACGTTTGCCCATAATGTGCCCATTGAGCTGTGAGTAAGACACCATTCCAGCACCCCGCACATGAGTTACATATGCTGAGCTGTGTGTGTACAGAATGCATATGAGTTATGTGTTTCAGGGAATTCTCACCGTGATTCCCTCGGCTTCATATTCCTCCTGCTCCGACTTCAGAGTCAGTTCAATGAAGAGCTGCTGCAGCTTCTCATTACAATAGTTGATACAAAACTGCTCAAAACTAAACAGACAGGCAAAGAGAGGCAGAGTGAGTTATCTCTGAAAATTAGTCCGATTCTACTCGTTAACAATAAAAAAATAAAAAAATAAATAAAGTTACCCAGATTCAAAGATAACCAAAATAATAAATGAAGGCTTTATTTTTTTATATAATGTATGAATATTATTTGAAAATATTGCATAAATATGAATCCAATATGATTAATAATATGATTAGTATGATAATTAATATGATATATATATATATATATATATATATATATATATATGAAAATACTCATTTATTGTTTATGCCATGTTTTTTTTATGTTCTTGCTGTTTTAGTTTTGGTTATTTTGTTTTATATGTTGTTTTATTGGAAAGCACTTTGGTCAACATGAGTTGTTTTTAAATGTGCTATACAAATAATAAACAAACAAACAATAAAATATAAAATGTAAAACAATATAATTACAATAATATTTAAGATTATAATTTGAAAATGCCATCAAATATTACAATAATAATGTGATTTAATTATTTAAAATATTTAAATTGATATTAAAATATTTAGAGTAGTATAAAATAAACAGTTTATGCAATATAACATATAGTATATAGCATACATATATTGTTAAATTGTAAAATGTCATTACACTATGTATTTACTCTACCTGTTGTTCTGAAAGACTTCAAAGCCATAGATATCCAGCAGACCAATGACAGAGGCGTTCTTACTGTTGAATGAATCATCCTGTGAGACATTAAAAGCACAGAAATATTCAACAACAGCTGTGGCATGCCGTTCAGACTAAACATACACAGCCTGTAAGATCATACGGAGAGAATGTGTTCTATTAACAGTCATCGGAAAACCAGAGTAATCAGATGACATGTCAGTGCTAGGCTTTCTCCATGTGGGGGCGCCAAACATCCACATTTAATAACAAGCCTCTATCAGAGAATTTGCAAAGCCATGGAGCTGCTAGTGTATTTAACAACAGAACGAGTCCATACCTTGAAGGCCAGAGAGCCATTAATTTTGTTGACCAGCCAAGTAAAAGTACGACCGTATATGGCTTTAGATAAGGCATCCCGTGCTGAAGCGGCCTGCTCTTGATTTAAAGGACTCATCAGCTATAACAAAAACACAGACAGTGGAATTATGGGAACCACTCATAGTAATTATTACGTATTGTACACACACACACACACAACTTTTTTTTACACTGAATACTCAGAACAAACTAAACACTCGAAAAAAACGTTTAAAGTTAACCAGCACTATTTTATTACAGATGGTTTGAATAAAAGCTTTGAATTGAATCTGTGATTTAAGATTCTTCATACTTTATTAAATCATTAAATTTTTGAGGAAAATGTTAGTGGTGCTTTCCCATGTAATATTTACCGCCTACAACAAAGTTTCTATGATATTCTGCTCCCTATGACTCAGATTCCTCATTTATTGTAAAGCTATGGGATTTTTTCACCCTTTTTATCAACTGCCAAAAATCATGAATATGATCAATAGTAATAGCAGACTTCCCCTCAACAAACAAGTTTTGAAAAATCCCTAACTCCAAGTATGAGCAATTAATACTGATATTTGTCTGTTAGCAATAGCAATAATTAACATTTCACTCTAAATAATTGGAAACATACCTCTTCTCCTTTGGCAATGATCTTTTTATGTGTTAGAGCCTCCTTAAGAACAGTGCCATCCACACCTAACAACTGCAATATCACAAACACACACACACACACACACAAACAGTCAAAAAACAAACCCCTGCCATGTAATTTCAAGAGAAGAAACATGGTTAGAGCTTTAAACACAGAGGTCATGCACATGTGGCCACAGACCAGTGATATAAATAAACTGTCCTGTTACCCTGGCTAAGTATTTAATCTGTGTCTCTGTAGTGATGTAGGCACTGCCACTGTCCTCTCCTCCGTACTGGACATTCCCCAAGTGTAGTACACTGGCAATAATGTTCAAAAGCTCCTGTGGAGAGAAAGGGATGGGTGTGAATGAGATGAAAGGTCACAATTTACAAGATAATGTGTCATTTCTGACACCAGATTTTAAAAATAAGGACTGTGTGTGTGTGTGTGTGGTGATTGGTCAGTTTGTCTGTCATACCTCCACTTCATCATCAGTGAAGCCAATGACGCTCAAGGCTTTCCTCACTATCTTCCAGTCATTGCGGTCATTTATGGAGCTCACTTTGGGACAGTTACCCTAAAAAACAAAAACAAAAACAAAAAAAACACAGTCAATCAGCTCAACAGAGGAAACCAAGGGAGGAGGGGCTCCTCTTGACTTCCTCAATTAAACACCAGGGGAGCGAGAGGAAGCAACAGAGGGACATTCCTGCATACTTGTGGGAAAATTTATGATGCCATTTATGATGAATACTCATACAAAAGTCCAACATAAATGCATGTGGTAAACTGAGCTGAACAATATTATTGGACATTTTTATTTAGTATTGGTATTTCTGCATCAGAGTAAAATAAAAAAGGTAATGATGTGAAATATCAAGTCACATTTTGAGAAATAGTTGCAATTGCAAGAAATAAAGTTGCAAATAATTGAAACCATGAGATAAATAGTTCCAATAATAACAGATAAATTTCAGATATAATTAAGAAATATTATAAAAAGAAAAAAATTTGTGAAATATAAAGTTGCAACAACAAAAAAGATATAAAAAGACAAAGTTGCAATAATAAATGAGATCAAGTCGCAATTGCACAATATAAAACCACATTGAGAGATGTAACATCACATTGCAAGACAGAAGATTAAAGCGTAAAAAAAAGGCACAAGTAGAAGACACAAAGTTATAATTACCTATTTATTTTTTTACAGTGAGGGGGAAACGACAGAAACTGAATGGCCTACTTGACCAGCATGACCTAGTGTGGCTGAAGCATGTGTGTTCTTCACAGCTCTTTCTTAAATATACAGTTTTCTTTAGACCTCAGACATCTGCTGTAATCATAACAGGAGTGTGAGGTCCGTCTCACCTTCACCAGATACTGGTACTGCTGGGCGTTCTTCTCCAGGCCCAGTCTCCTCAGCAGATCATCCTCTCCTCCCTCGATAAGCTGATAAAAGATGTGGAAGTTTGTGTGTTCTTCACAGCTCTTTCTTAAATATACAGTTTTCTTTAGACCTCAGACATCTGCTGTAATCATAACAGGAGTGTGAGGTCCGTCTCACCTTCACCAGATACTGGTACTGCTGGGCGTTCTTCTCCAGGCCCAGTCTCCTCAGCAGATCATCCTCTCCTCCCTCGATAAGCTGATAAAAGATGTGAAAGTTCCTCTCGCCGTGGCTCTGGTGCACGACACGTGATTTCTCCAACAGGTAGTTAATGATGTGACCTCCTACGGGAGCACCCTGCCAACGGGGACACCCAAAGGGAGAAGCAAAGGGGATAATACCGGGTTTCTGACACGCATGCAAACACGCATAATGTCACAGACAAACACAAACACGTAAACACGCAGGTGGATGCAGCCAAATCCCCAAACCAAGGAGAGCATTTAAGGGTAAAGGTGTATCGACAGAAGGTGGATCACAGAAATTGAGACGTGAGCTTTGTTTGATGATCATTTAATGACAATAACATTGTAATAATAACACATGAGTGAACTCACCTTGAAGTCAAACTGAATGTCCATGTATTTCCCAAAGCGACTGGAATTGTCATTTCGTAGAGTTTTTGCATTCCCAAAGGCCTGAGAGAAGAAAAACAAACAACGATAGAAAGGAAAATTGAGGAGTATTACAATTTAGGATGGCATACAGAAAACAAGCTTTTTAATTTAGACAAATGCGAGTATACACACGCTCTACTAGATGCGCATTCACTGCTAGTTTACAGGGAAGCACCACATCTGCAAAACGGCCGTCTGTGCTGCTTCCGTTGGCCTTCCCATTTTTAGATGTCCTTCATGTATGCGCCAGTCTTATCGCACAGATAATAACAGTGGCGTATAATTACTGGAGAGGTTTACCAGGACTACAAACTGCTCAGAATAAACTTGGCATCGTTGAGAGTCATTCTGGGAATTTTCCTCTGTGACAGCAGTCCAGGGCAACAATTACAGCCCGTACTGATCTCACCACTATACGCTGGCATTTGGAGATCAGTGAAATTGTATGTCATGATGAAACATGTGGGGTTAGATGAGCTGTGTACATGTTTACCTCCAGCACAGGGTTGGATTGTAGCAGGCGATCTTTGACGGTCTGCACATGCTCACTGGCAGGGCAGGTGATGGCGTAGTACTGCAGAACCTTTTTGGAGGCTTCGGTCTTGCCAGCACCACTCTCACCCGAGATGAGGATGCACTGGTCCCGTCTCTCAGTCCGCATGGAGCGATACGCATTATCAGCCACAGCGTAACTGTATAGGGAATGTGTCAACATCATAAGCGCTTGGTTATGTATTTTAACAAATTATAATTATTTTTTATCAAAACAGAAAGATTATGTATGTAAAATGCAACAACAACAAAAATAATAATAATAATAAATGTTAAATTAAGTAGATAAATAAAAATTAAATACTTATATAAATTTAATACAAATTATTTAAATTTTCAGCATTTTAATTTAAATCAATTTTCTTGAATTCACTTAACCAAATATAATAATTATGACAGATTCATTATAAACAAAAAATAGAATAAAATAAAAAAAGCAATAGAGTAATATTATTGCTGCATCATTATTGTATTTGAATTTTTGCTCATTTTTGCATTTAAATTTTACATACAAATAATAATAAATAATAATACAATAAAAAATACACAACAACAACAATAATAATAATAATAATAATAGGTAGATTTAAAAAATATCATTATAGATTAAAAATTGTATATATAAATTAAGATTATGGATGAACTTAATGAACCAAACTAAAAAAAAAATACAATAAATAAAATAAAAAAATTACAATTAAAATATTACATTAATATTTATAATACTTATTTATGTTTTATATTTTATTATTTTTTAAGTATTATATTTTTAAGTTATTATTTCTATTACAGTACATGTATTTAATTTAAATGCAGCCCTTAATATGTCTAATAATCTCTCTTGGTCTTATAATGTATGTGCAGTATTGCTTCGAATTCCTTTTCTGGTAGCATTAAAATAACACATTCCTTTGGTAGAAGCCTAAATGGACATTCAACAGTGGACAAACAGTGGAAAAGCCCAGTGAGGATGGAGTTGCCAATGATTTTCATGAGGAAAGAGCAGTTACACTAGAGAGGGTCTGTGTTTTTTCAGCCTGTATGAGAGCTGAGATAATGCTTTCATCACTTTTACATGTCTGCTATCAGTGTAAGATGAACACAGTGGTACAGCTTCGGGTGAACTATAACTTTATACTTCACTTTATCTCTCCGGATAACTGAAAGCTGTCACACACACATAAACCTTACAGATGAGAGTCTATGAATGTTACGATTGTAGCATAACTTCAGTTTATAGTCCTCAACATTCCTCACAGATATTCCAAAGGAATTTCCTCTTCACTAATAGAAGAAAACAAGGAAGATAAACAAGCGCCACCAAGTACATTAAAGTGTGGATTAGGCATTTTGCATATTTAATACTAATATATATTTAAAGCAATTTGCATTTGATAATGAGTAGTCAACAGAAATGTTCACTGAAATTTTGTAGCCCTAAAATGTGGAAGAGAATTCGTTTTTTCAAGCCACTGGTTCCCTCTGGAATTTCTCATGTTTTTTGGTGTGAACTTTACATTGCGAACTTTATATTTATTTTATACAATATTTACTAAATTATAAATAAACAATTTGAAAATGAATAAACATAAAAATATGAAAGATTTATTTTAGATGGGAACTTCTTGATTCTGTAATCATAATATAATATTTCTCAAAAAAAAAAAAAAGTAAAAAAAAGTGTTTAAAAATGAATAATAAAAAAAAAGGTTAAAATTCTGGTAAGTCTGTTTTTTCCAAGTAAATAATTGGATATAGCGCAGCATAGTTTGAAGGGTTTAAAGTTTGTTGAATGTGCAGTGTGCAGTGACAGGTGAACACTCCCATCCACATCCAATTCGCTCTAGCCTTCTTGGCGCTGTCAAAATAAAAGTCCCGTTTCTGACACATCGGGCCAAAACAGAAAAACTTGCCGATGCTGATGATTAAAAATGCCAAACTTTAGACAACCACTACCTCAAATATGACTTCTGAAGCTACTCTATTTTTTTAGAGGGGGAAAAAAACTTTTGTCGCTAAATAAGGACTACAAATACCATAAGGATGCAAGTTTACATGCGTGACAAATCAGGCCATTGTTGTAGTCCTTGGCCCTGTCCCAAATGGCAGACTTCATGTACACTTGCGCTCTTGCTGACTTACAAAGGCCACCACGAGCACGTGTCTGTTAAGTACGCAAGCCCATAGGGTGTCTTATTTGTTATTTTAGCTTTCCCAAGGGTGCACGCACGAGCCTCCTTTGTACCCTCGATGCGCACTTCTGCCGAGCCCGCACTGGGGCGAGCTCTGCGGCAGACTTCTACCCGACAGTCAAAATGGCATTAGGTCAGGAAAATGTGGACACGGAGGAAGACAGCGAGGGTTTACGGTGCAATTTGGGACAGGGCCCTTATTTAAAAAAAACCATAACCATTACCCATCCCATTAGACTAATCTGCATAATAAAAGAGATCAGAATTGTGGGTAATAATGACTTGTTGCTGATGGCTTACATGTGAGGTGAGACTTCATAGAAATTGACGCCCCTGTATCGATCCATATGCTGTTTAGTGTAGATCTCCAGGTCTTTGTAGGGGTTCATGGACACCAGCACTGAGCCAATGTACGTCTGTGGGAGGAAGACAGACACACAGAGATCAGATCAATACTCTGGGCTTTGAGCTTTAAGAGTGAATAGTACCGGAAGAACAGCTCTTACATAAATTAGGTTCTCCTTGAAGCGTTTGCGGAGGTTCTCGATGAACGCCACCTCGCTGGTGTGGTTCTCCAGCAGGACAAAGTCCTGCATGCCCACCCGGTCCCTGGCTGTCAGGGCGCTCTCCATCATGACCCGGATTCCGTCACTGCCCACAGCCTGACAGAGAAAGAGCAGAAGTGAGATACAGAATCACACTTCCATCCTCCAGAGGCAGAGCAGCACGAGGTGATATATAAACACTGCAACACACAGTATGTCAAGGCCCTCTGGAGAGCCTTGAATAAACTCAACCACTCCATCATGACCCCTTCATGAGTTCAGCTCATTTGAAACCCAGTTTTTATTTTAAAGTATTCGTATGAAAGAGTTCTCACGGAATACCATTGTGAACAAAATGTCACGATCTAAAACAGTGGATTTGTGTCAAGCAAAATTTTAAGCTACAATTAATACTCGGAAACTCTAAAAGTACCAGGAAGTACTACTTTGACTTTTTTGATAAGGTACCACAATAATACCACAGTAATTTTTAGACATTTACCTTGTGTACAATGGCTATACAGCTAGGAAAGCAAGATACACTACAGTTCAAAAGTTTGGGGTCAGTAAAATGCAAGAATTATTTTTGTTTTATTCAGTGAGGACACATAAACTGATCAAAAGTGACAGTAAAAAAAGTGACGAATAAATTACATTTTAAAATATATTCAAATAGAAAGCAGTTGTTTTAAATTTTAATAAAGTTTCACGCCAATAATCTTCACTGTATTTTTGATCAAATAAATGCAACCTTGGTGAGAATAAGAGATTTCTTTTAAAAACCAAACTTCTGACAAGCAATGGCACTATACTGGATTTTAGCCTATATTAGAGATTTTTTTAATTTATCAATATTAATTGATATTAGATTGGTTAATACTAGATATTTTATTTTACATGCTAATTTGCTTCATTGTGACCTTTATTTTTAATAATTCAAACATTTATTATGACCTTGTTGCATTTAAATCAACTGATTTTAGTTTTTGGTGTTTTAATTTTAATGTATTTAAACCAAATAGCACAAGTCACAATAGCTACAAGGTATTCCTGGAAGTACCGTATAAACACTGTTGTATAAAAATACGATCATCATTATGTACTATATTCAAATACCACAGTATTACCATCTGATCCCATCATTGCTTAATGGCACCACCACAGTACTATTTATAAGGGTACAATGCTGTTTTACATCATTACCTTGATTACATCACTTTTACAAACACACAAGACACTGTAAACCATAAATTTTCACACTTAAACCACATCTCACAACTCCATCAGTGCAAACTCCACCCAAACTCAAGTGTGCTGGTACAGCAGAAACACAGTCATACTCACATCTATAACCAGATCTGTATTTTTAAAGAGATAACTCTTCTCCACAATGGAGGCCTGCGTTTTCCGCATTAGATTCCCGATGTTTGACAAATCCATGGAGTCGAAACAACTTTAGCTATCGATCTTCGACCAGAGATGCTCTTTAACTAGTAGGACACACAAATGTACTAAGTTCTAACAGGTCACTTGTCATCTGATGTCTGTTATCCTGATCAAAGAGGACTATGGGTGACGCTTCCTAGCTTGAAACAGAAAAGCGCACTTACACCCAATCACACACACACACACAAACACACTCAGATGAACAAATGCGTGATTATGCATCGAAACACACACAGTCACATTGTGTGAATGCACCAGCTGCTATGGTTGTTGTTTTGCTATTGACACAGCAGCAGCCGTCCCCTGGAGGGAGAGACAGAGAGAGACAGATACAGCACACCTGAGCAAGCACTTTAATTAAGTTGATGCACACCAATTACAACAGAACCGAGAGCGAGGGGGGCTAACGGTGGGAAAAAACAAGCAGAAAGAAAAACATAACAAGCGAGCAGGAACAGTCGACAAGTGTAGTGCCAGGAAGTGACTTCATTCCCAATCTGTCAGCCTGCTGAATGCACCAACAGAGCAGCACCATCTCTGAAAGTCTAACATGGCCGTGCGTTGCTCTCTCGTTCCCTATTAGGCCGGTTTTGCATATCCAGCTCAAATCTGGTTTTGTGCAATATGCAAACAACCACATGGAATCTGGTTTTCAGAAATCTGACACAAACCACAATTAAATGCAATGTATTGTGTGTTTAAATAAGAACCAGATCAAAATTCAAGTGTTTTTGTCATTTAGGACGAAACGCTTATTTGATGTCATGAAAAAATATTAAAAATATAAGCAGTGTCAAGGTGTTTAGAGTGGATAGTGCACAGCTATGTGGTTGCTAGGTGGTTAATTACTGGCTCAAGTAAAAAAAAAAAATTCTTACTGTGTTACTACATTATTTTCTTAATATTATATTATTAATTATATTTCTATTATATTCTCTAGATATGCTAGAGTCCCTCTTTCAATCTAAATGTATGGGATTTTTTCAACCTGTTTTAATATTTATATAGGTTATACTGAACATACACTACCATTTAAAAGTTTGGGGTCAGTAGAAGAAATGAATTAAAGAAATGAATGCTTTTATTCAGCAAGGATGCACTCAATTGATCAAAAGTGACAGTAAAGATTTTATAACACTTTTTTATTAATCAAAGAATCTCGAGAAAAAACAAACAAAAAAACATGGTTTCCACAAAAATATTATTTGAAATTAATAGTTTTCACTGTATTTTGATCAAATAAATGCATCCTTAGTGAACAAGAGACTTCTTTCAAAAACCTTTAAAAAATCTTATTAACCCCACCTTTAGAAGGAAGTGTACATATTTGATTTAAACAAATAAGAATGCAGACACTCAGCCCCACAGATCAGATTTGAAAATCAAATCAGAAAAGTGTCCAGTGAACATACTGCACACTTTTCTTAATCACATGTACTTGTTTGTCTGTCTTAATTTGTGTGCATATTCTACTGCAGTCACACAGAACTGACAGTTAATAATTGGTGGTGGAGTCATAATCAAAACTAAACCTGCTGGCTAGACAGACCATGACATCATTTGCTGGCCAGCTCAAGCAAAATGTGTCCTGCCCTTTGAAAGATCATTACCACTGAAGCTACTGTACTTACTCCAAGACACTTGTATAATACAGATCTGCAACACTTGTATAATACAGACAGCTTTTACTTTGATTAAATATTTACTTTTTGAGGAGATAATCGTTTTCATGCTATGGCTGCCAACTGACAAAACAGTTCTATACTGTTTTTATAGCTAAAAAAATTATTTAGAAATTCATACCACACATTATACTACACAGTTTGAAAAATGGATATATTTATTTTGAGATATGTAAAAGATTACATTTATTAAATTATTAGTGCTTTTAAAAATTAACTTTAAAGGGATAGTTCACCCAAAAAGAAGTTCACCTTCGTTCATCTTCAGAACACAAATTAAGATATTTTTGATTAAATCCGAGAGCTTTCCGACCCTGCATAGACAGCAATGTAACTGACAGGTTCAAAGCCTAGAAAGGTAGTAAGGACATCGTTAAAATAGTCCATGTGCCATCAGTGGTTCAACCGCAATGTTATGCGTCGTGGTACCCTCATGAACACTGACACAGAAAAGAAGAAATTGTTGAATAAAGTCATTATTTTTGTTTCCTTTGCGCAGAAAAAGTATTCTCGCAGCTTTATAAAATTACGGTTGAGCCACTGATGGCACATGGACTATTAACGATGTCTTTACTAGGACTTTTCTCGGCCTTGATTGTGGTAATTTGTGTTCTGAAGATGAACGAAGGTCTTAAGGGTTTGGAACAACATGAGGGTGAGTAGCTAATGACAAAATTTTCATTTTTGGGTGAACTATCTCTCTAAGTGAGCGTTAGATGACTGCAAAGTTCATCTAATTTTAAATGTAAAAATGCAGGAAATAAGCTTGTACAATAAAATATTGAAATTAATCTAATTGGATATCAAGGTCATACAAGGATCTTTGGGCTCAGAGTTGTCTGAGGGTTCTTTGTGCACGTTAGCAAATATTATCTGTGCATCACCTAGACGTAAAACACTTAGAGCCGCCAAAAGCCAATATAAACAAATCTAACCATTCATTTAGAACAATAAATATGCCACAATCAGAAAGCAGACCCTTGTCCCCCCAAGACCCCTTCCTATGGTACTTTCTCCAGAAACAGGTTCTATAATGGCATTGTTCTTCTTTATAGATTTGCTTTCCGGTTCTTTCTTTCCCACCCCTGGTCCTGGTCTCCTTCCCCATGCATGCAGGTCTATAAGGCAAGCTACGCGCTTTTGCCATGTGCTCACTTTTTCCAAATCCTGCTCTGCAAACAACAGACTGAAAAGCTCTAGACATGACCGTGGGCAAATTATTCACTCTCCATTTCACTCTAACCTCCTCTGAAAAAGAAAGATCAAAGGGGGAGCGGTTTGTTCTTCGTGAACAATAATTGCCTTTCGCATGACCTTCTAACATCCTACTGATTCGCTGGGCTCTTGTGAGCAGAGCTGTGCCAGGGAGATCTGCTGAGTCAAGCTTCCTTCGTCAGCACTTCTCACATTGCAAGAAGACATAGCAGTCTTCGGAAACAGGCAAATAGGGACCAGAGCTTTGATTACAAAGATTGCTTTTTGAATCAATGTGCAAAAAAACACTCCATTATTTCATTTCTCTAAGGACAAGTCAGCGATTCTGTCCAGTTAACAACTCCAGATATAACCGGAGCATGATGAAGAAAAGAAGAATGTATTGTGCATTTTTTTCATAATTAATGAAGGCAGTGGATAAAGGGCACATTCCTAGATATCCAGAGCATAGTCATGCGCTCCTCCCCTTCTCACCGGGAAGAGTGGAGAATGGTGGAGAAGAAAAGCACATCTTGTCTGCTTGCTTATGATTTTAAGCTTTTGAGGTTACCAACTGTTTCCATCCTGATTGAGTCATCTGGCTCACTTGTTACCTCTCTCTTCTTTCCTCAGGAAAGAACAAGGAGTGGAGACACCCAGACTTGTGGAGAGGCACAGCTAGCTACATTAAAAACGATGAATGCATAAAAGTGTTTCTTCAAATAAGGTCACTATTACAGTACCAACAGATTAAATAAAACCACAAAAAGTCAACTTTTGCTTTTTTTAATATTA